TTTTTTTTTTTTCCATCTTCAGTGCAAGATGCTATCATTGTTCCCTGGTTGTAAGTTGTCCTCTCACAGCTTGTTATCTTTGCCCTCTGATAAGGGTGTGTCACTGGGAGAGTGTCTGGTGTGTGTACGAGATGCACATACTTATACAGGCAGTGGTGCAGATGGTCACTGAACCCAGTACCCAGGGTAAAGTAAATCACACTGTAAATATTTGTCATACATACACCCAGATCCTAACAAATCTTGTCTAATGATCAGTTTAATAAGCATATTGATTCACCCTGCCTGTTACAGCCAAAGTGTAAGTTTCAAATCCAAAACAAACTTTTTGAAAGCCGGCTTCAGCCATCTGAACATGCATTTCCAATTTCCAGGACTTCAGACATTTGCATTAAATCGTGTTGTGAATTTTCCTATGTCAAATGTACCATGAAGAAGAAATGAGTCCTTTAGCCATCAGAATGCCCTGTAGTGCCTCAGTGTCGGGCAGTGTGTTTGACTGATTGCAGAGTACTGCTGATATGAAGAGTGGAAAGAAGGGTGAATCATGGGTCAGATAGTGTAGTATCTTCTTGATATGGAGGTATGCAGGCAGCCTGGGTACGGAGAGGTGTTGGTAGCTCTGGGTGGATGTTGGGGACCACTCGCCTATTTATCTCGCTCTATAGTTCCTTAAATGGATGTGAAAAGCCTAGAATGAAGATAAGATAAATAAGTGACAGAGATTTACTGTATATGCATTTACACTAGGGCTGTCATGTTTTGCTGATATTTAAGTCAAGCCGTTATGACTGCGAGTCCTTCCGGAATATATCAATTAATAAAATTTGTATGTATAACTAGACTTTTCATATATAATTTATATTTCCATGTCATTTGTTCTGTGTTTTTTGATCTTTATTTATGAGATATTTGTGGGTTGATTTCTAAAAGCCCAATTTTTGTTAGGATTGAATGATTATTATGGGTCACTAAGCTCAAAGGCGCAGTTTACTCCCTTGAAATAATGAATTATGTTTTCTAAAATATTGTGTCCCTTGGCATAAATGCTACTTCAGAGTCTTTTCCAAGATAACACAAATACTTTTCAGAGAGAGCATCAAGTGGATTTCTTTTTTCTTTTGCATGATGGTCTATAATTGATCTGTTTCACCTTGGGCCTTCACAGACATATTGATCCTCCCACTATGAATGCGCTCTGTTTTTCAATATGCTCCAACTCCTACATACACTACCAGTCAAAGGTTTGGATACACTTTCTCAGTGAACTGAAAGGGGAGAAGTGTGTCCAAACCTTTGGCTGGTAATGTACATGAAGGTTTGTGCTTACTGTTGTCAAATGTGTGTGTGTGTGTGTGGCTTTCTCAGGGAGATGAGGTGGTTTTGCAGAGTACCTTCACCTCCCAGGAGGAACATGTGAAGCTGTGTCTTGCTGCAGAAGGATTTGGCAGCAGACTTTGCAGGCTTGAGCCCACATCTAACTGCAAGGTAAACATCAGTGACTGCACATGCTTTTCCTCATTGCAGGAGCAATCCATTTTTCAGTTATTGTCACACTTCATCACTCAGTATATTTGACCTACTGCATCTTCTGTATGCTTATGGCCAAGATATATAGAAACCATACATTTAAAGACTTCGAACACAAGTTAACCTCTGTCTGTCTTTCTAAAGTTTTAAATGAAAGTTTTAATGAATGTCTGGAGAGCATGTTATTCATAATCTCAAAGTCCATTATGTTATGGTTTCCTACTACTCGGTCACCTCAATATGATCACCAAATAACACTTAATATTTAATAATTTTTTATCTAGGTTTAATTTGTTTTATTATTTAGGGTATTTTTATATTTATGCATTTGTATTTTTTGTGTGGACCAGACTCTTCTCCCTTTTCCTCCCCAGTTTGCAGTCCCCATTTTCCAGTTTGCTGCGGCTAATACTGTCTGTCAGACAGATATGGATCTACCTCAGTGACACATGCTCTGTCCTTTTCTTTCTGTCAGAATGTTCCACCAGACTTGTCTGTGTGTGGCTTTGTCCTGGCCCAGTGTCTCTCTGTCCGAGCCCTCCAGGAGATGCTGGCCCACAGCAAGCACCTGACTGCAGAGGTGAGAGTCTCTTCTCCCAGCTAACATTCCCAAAAGTAATTGCTATCTATTTTGTCAGTGGCTTTGATCTGTCCGTATCTCCACAGGTGTAAAATAATGATATAAAATGAATTTCAAATACAACCAGGTTCACCAGGGCATTTCATAATATAGACTTTATTTTGGTCTGTTTTTATTCATATGGAGCAACAAGGTTAACACAGACTTATGACACTGACAAATAATGAATTACAGAACTGGAATAGAGGGCATTTATGTAAAGTAACAAATGAACAAAAGAAGTAAGCATTCATAATTGTTTGCTCATTTAATTTTCTCTTTTCTGCTCAATTATTTGTGTAATAGTTGAATGTGACACTGTTTTCCATTTATCTTTCTTTTTTTTTTGTTTATTCACTTCTCACACTACTGTAGATGTGTTTTCACATGCTATGAGTCATAGTATGCTACATACATGATTGTGCATTCCAGGTGGGAGCTGGAGGAAGCCACCGCACCCTTCTATATGGCCAGGCTTTGTTGTTCCTACATTCATACAGTGGCATGGTGAGTCATCTTGATATAATGCAAATGTAAATCTGAAGATCTTACTTTTATTAACTTTATAAAAGATATTCATTCATATGTTCACTGATATAGATATGTTATTTTACTCCCAGTATCTCAGCTGCTTGTCTTCATCTCAGTCTTCAGCGGATAAGCTGGCTTTTGATGTTGGTCTGCAAGACAATAAAGCAGGTATTTGGTGTTGGGCATTTTTAAACTGATGAAAATTGTAATAGTTTTTTTTAGATATATGCAGTTTTTACCATACTCCATTGTGTTTATATAATTCTAATACCACTTCTGTGATGTTAACTGTGAGCAAAGAATATGGAAAATCCAACAAACTTGACTTTTTTCCCCTGTTTATGGCTCAGGTGAGGCATGTTGGTGGACTGTCCACCCAGCATCCAGACAGAGGTCAGAGGGTGAGAAAGTACGTGTTGGAGATGACCTCATACTGGTCAACGTATCCTCAGAGAGATATCTGGTGAGTCAGTAAGGGAGTAAAATTTCCTTTTTCTTAGATAAAGAATTTTCTTTAAATGTTTCAAACTGTCACAAATCTCAAACATCTGAACCTGTTTCAAGAAATAACAGAGGAGAACTAATTAAACGTTTGAAGTTGCTAAATTGAATTTGTGTTTCCTGCTGCTTTTCTTTCTTATGAGCTTTGCAGATCAGAAACTACTATTTAAATGTTATTGGTTTAATTCCCTTGAACTTCATTCAGTAGATGTTGGTCTGTGATCTCCCTGCCTCTGAGTTGTTTAGCATAATTTTATTGATAACAGTTATTGTTGAAGAAAAATCTAAAGTTGTATTTATTGTAGAGTCCATATTTTATTCCATCTGGTTTCTTCCCAGCACCTGTCCTTTGGCACTGTGTTTAACAACAAAAGCTTGAGTGACAGTCTGATTGTTGATGCAGCCTTCCAGCAGACTCTCTGGAGTGTTGCTCCCATCTGCTCTGGAGCTGGAGTTGCTCAAGGCAAGTTTCTACTGAAAAACAAACTATCAATATTTACAATGATATGACCCAACTCATTGTCATGCCCTAGAAATGTGATTGGTCACAGAGATGTGATGTCCCTCTGTGTTTGCAAATAGCTAGGGATGTCCCGATTGGCAGTTTTTTGGCTCTGGGTAGTCGGTGGTAATCGGCAAATATTCTCGGGGGGGCTTAATGGGCTGACATTGTGCTGATGCTGAAAGTACGTCTTTGTCCATCTGGCAGTATTTTGTGTTAAAAAGCAAAACAAAATACTAATGAAAATTATGTAATATTAATGTAGCAGACGGCAGAACTTCGTAACGATTGCTATGTACACCGAATGTGCTAAGTTTCCATCATTGAGGTGAGATCGAGTGATAGTTATACCTTTGAAAATGTCTCACTCTGGAGTTGCTGGAACTACAGAGAAGCACTCAGTTCACTCTGATTATTCAGTGGTTTTACAGAGTAATGCCTCTTTACTTCATAAATGATCTTCAGCCAACAGCAAACAGTGTGCTGTCTGTGTGTCCACTGGCTGCAGAGAGGTTACAAACCCGGCAACAGCCACTTTCATTGTGTCCTGTCATCAATTTATCCGAATATCTGAATGCTAAACTTGAAACCCGCTTACCTACCCAACGAACGAACATTCAAATAGTTGGATATATGGGTCCAGCCTTACAAATAGATATTGGCAAAGAGACCAAATCAGGCTGCAGATCTTCAAATGCAAACTTTAATGGTGCTACTTAGTACTAACTGAAAGAGCTGTGGCTGCAGTTACTGTGAAGCAAACCTTCTGCATGATTGTGCTTAGAGTAGTTAGCCTTGTTTATATGCCAGTTATAGGCAACAGTTGGTCTGTGTCATACAGTGCAAGCAGTAAAATGTTTCTTTCAGCAGAGAACATGTCTAGTGTCTGTTGTGCTAACTCTAGGATACCTAAAGGGGGGTGAGACATTGCGGCTACTCCACAGCCACAGTGATGCATGTCTGACAATTCCCTCCATAGAACAGGGAGAGGAGCTGCAAAGGTAAATCATTTGAAAAGTCCAATTACCTTTCATGTGGATGAAATGTCATTGTGTCCCCTGATCATACCTGTTTATCCAATGTAGAATAATGCATTATGAGACTGGATCAGTCTCTATCTACGCCCGCTCTCTCTGGAGGCTGGAGATTCTGCGCGTTGTGTAAGTATACATGGAATTTGATGTGCTCACAGGGACGTAAAAGGAATATTTACCCTCATACTGTTTAAATTGTCATATTGGAAAATAAGCAGTTTGTGTAGGACACATTTTGAAAAATATTTGTATAGTCTCATTTGCAGAAACTCTTAACACAAAAAAAGAAACCAATGAAGTCATACACACAGTAGTTGAAAGTAGTTGTTGTTAAGATATTAGATGGAGTCTGTATCATTTTGCACATACTGCTACTGGTCCAGAATTTCTGTTTCTGCTGTTTTTGCCCACAGAGGCTGTGCAGAGTTGCTGGCACAATGTTTGATATTGCTTTCCCAGAATGGAATTAGGGCAATGTGTCCCGTGCTTGCTCCCCTGGCATTTCAACAATAAAGAGGAAAAAACTAAATGTAGCAGACGGTTTGGTTTATTTTAACAGGAAACAAATCCAACAAAAACAGAATGCTTTTGATATTCCTCAGCTGGAGTGGTAGACATACATGCTGGGGGCAGCCATTCAGACTGTGCCATGTGATTACTGGGAGGTACCTGGGACTCACAGAGGAGAAAGGCCTGCATCTGGTTGATCGGCACAAGGCTGACATCAACACAACCTCTTTCTGTTTTCAATCCTCAAAGGTCAGAAGAAATGCAGTACACTGTACTGTCTTTTTGACATCTGTTTGTGACGAGTGTAATAACAGATTTTTATTCACAGGAGAGGCTTGACACTGGTACAAAGACTAATGTTGATGGCATGGGGATCCCAGAGATCAAGTATGGAGATTCCATTTGTTACATTCAGCATGTAGCTTCTGGCCTCTGGCTCACCTACCAAGCCACTGATGCAAAGTCTTCTCGCATGGGAGGAACGCAGCGAAAGGTAAAGATGCTATCATTCCTGAGTTAACTAAAGGTGTATGCCTCATTTTATATTTTGGCTGTCTTGTGAGAATGTTCAGTGTGAAAATGCATTTCAAGCATAATGACCAAATCAATAGGAAGTGGTTGCAAATGTGTTTCTAGGCCATTTTACACAGTGAGGGTCACATGGATGATGGGCTGACGTTGTCACGTTCTCACAAGGAAGAATCTCACACTGCCAGACTCATCTGGAGCACTATTCTCCTCTTCACTCACTTTATCAGGTACTGGATGCCATATATAGACCCTCAGACATTTGTGGATACCACATTGACATGGTTACACTGGCAGTGTAGTGCAGCATTCTCTCCCTTAGGAGAGAGAGAGAGGCTTAATTTTATACTACTTCTTCAGCTGACAGTGAGTTTATACTGTAGCACAGTCTTCATACAGTGTCCTTGTTAGAGAAGCACTGATAGATTGACTTATTGCAGATATATTGGTATTGTGCATATACTGGCTCATATGTAAGGGATTTCAGTACAGACATACTAAAACTGGGTTTGACGTAGTTTAGAAACAGTCTTCATTATATAATTTGCCCACCAGAGAGCAAAGATAATAATATAAATCACTAATTAATACAAGTATCTTTCAGTAAATATCAAAGGCCTCAAAAATCCATAATCTCTCAGGCTGGAGCGCTTGTGGTATAGGAGGGGTACTTTGGATTTAGGTATCACAGAACATCCGACTTCTATGGCTGTGTATGAGATCTGCCATGGTATTGTATGTGTGTGTACACGGATTTCTTGTTGCACAAAGCTCAGTACCATAGCAATACCCAAAAAACATTTTAAAACATGATGAGAATTGCTATCATGCATTTAAGTTGCAGTTGTAAAATCAAGTGCCTTGCTTGCACGCCACTGAGAGAAGGAATCCCTTGTGGCTTGGATGCTATCTCAAACATTTTGTTTTGCCCTTTTCAAAAACAACAGTTTTATTTATATAGCCCACAATCATAAATTTGCCTCTGTGGGCTTCTGCAACACCCTTCACCCTTAGACCTTGCATTCAGATAAAGATGCTATAGCATGAGTATTATAAAAAATGAATTTTAAGACTCCTGCTTTTTATCATATTAAAAATATCTCTAGAGTACAGCCATATCTCTTTCAGTGTTACAGAAAGATTAATACAGTACACACTTTTTTATCTAGCAGACTGGAGTTTTGTAATGCCCTCCTCAGTTGTCTACACAAAAACGTCATAAATTCGTTAGAGCTGGTTCAGAATGCTGCTGACCAGGACCAGAAGGTGAGATTATACCTGTTATTGTTATTTGTTTCCTGTCAGTTTTTGTATTAATTTTAAAGGTCTTTTACTAGGTTTTAATGCATTCTGTGGTCTTGCACCAGCCTACTTACCAACATGCTTCCAGTGTATGAATGATGAGTCTTGTAGTTGTTCCAAAGTACAAGACAAAACGTTTGAGGCAGCTTTGAGATTTTATGGTCCAAACTGTTGGAACTGTCTGCCTGAGGAACCAAGAGCAGCTGAAAGTGTTCTTAAAACCTACCTCTTTGGTTTGGCTCTTGATTTAAACATTTTACTGTTGTTATTTATTATGTGCTATTGTTTTTACCATGTTATACCTATTTAATTTATCTAGATTTTTTGTTTAATTCCATCCTTTTTATTTTTTTATTACATTTTTTTTTTTACCTAATTGCTTTATTCTGCCTTATTGTCATTTATATGTGTAAGCACTTTGAATTGCATGAACCTGTATGGAAGGTGTTGTATAAATAAAGCTTGAATTGATTAGAAAAAATTGTTGGGTCAGTGATATTGCTCTGTTTTGAATCTGGGTTTGTTTTGATGCAAGATGATTTGGAAGTCTTGTAGTTTGAGTCCAGCCACTTGAAACTAGTCACCTATGATATATTGTTGTATTCTTTATCCACCTTTTCTTTAGGAAACTGGATGGTTTCAGCCAACAAGGAAAAATACCCTCTGTCAGCCCACCAATGGAGATAGTGAAGTGCAGTCTGCAGGATCTAATAAACTATTTCCAGCCGCCACCAGAGGGGCTAAGCCATGAAGTTAAACAAAACATCATGACAGCACTAAAAAATCAGCAGAACATGTTTCAAGAAGAGGTAAATCTTTATATGTGAATTGATAAAGTGGTCTTACATGTGATGATGGTGGTGCTATTTCATAAGTATATGTGCCCCTGTTTTTTCCCCCAGGGTGTGATAGATTTGGTCCTAGATTGTATTGACCACCTCCACCAGTATAGTAGTGCCTTACATCTTGCTGAAGCTGCTCAGAGTGAGATAGGGGAAGAGTGGGAGACCATCCTCAACTGTTTCTATGAACTGCTCGGTGAGAAATAATGCATCTTCTGAGGATAAATGGCTCCCTACACACTTCATTTTCCATAGACCACAACATGTTTTATCTACTGACAGACACCAAATGGATGCATTTTTTCTGTTTAATATCCACTAAGCTGTTGATAACCCATTTAAATGCATTAAAAAAAATCCCTGTCTTCAGACCTAAAATGCAAAAATTTAGTGTGAACTCTGCATGAAATACATGTATTTGCCTTAGTACCCAAGTAGTGTGAATTCTCAATTATAGTCGCATGTTTCCTTTTTTTCTCCCACTTCAGCTGCTTTGATTCGAGGAAACCGTGGAAACTGTGCACGTTTCTCAGCCTCACTAGACTGGCTGATTAGCAGGCTAGACCGACTGGAGGCCTCATCTGGTTGGTTGAACTTGTAGTCATTTTAATTTGTAAAACAATTATATTTTTGTGTTATTTTTCAGTTGTTTTATATCATTACCTCCACCAAGGGGGTAATGTTTTTCTGGCATTTTTGTTGGTTTGTTCACAGCATAGTTCAAAAGGTGATGATTGGATTTTGATGAAATTTTTAGGCGAGGTAGGGTATGACCCACAGAAAAATCCATTAGATTTTGGTGCTGATCTGGATCATCATCTGGCTCCAGGGATTTTTTTAAAGGATTTTTTACTATTGCGTGATCAGGCCACTTTCAGTTATTTTTCTTGACAAGTTAGGACGATTCTAAGGGCCCACGAACTTTGGGGGCCCACAGTCTGTGGGTAGAGGGCCCAACTTCAAATTTTTTCATAGGGCCCAAAACTGCTAGCTGCGCCCCTGGGTTTAGGTATACACTGACATCTGCTATACATTTGGCATTTATAGCTTATCGCAGCATCATTGAAAAATATAGAAATACAGACAGTAAATACAGGGAACTTTCCATACTCTAATGAGCAGCATACTGTCATGTACAGGAGTCTTGGAGGTTCTACACTGTGTCTTGTTGGAAAGTCCTGAAGCACTCAACATCATCAAAGAAGGACACATTCATTCCATTATCTCTTTTTTAGACAAACATGGATGCAACCACAAGGTAATATTTGCAGGTTTTTGTGTGCATTTGATAAAAAAAAACATTATATTGTCATTATGGTCATGTCTTCACTGCATGTATTGGCTAAAATGCAGTAGTTCACCTACATTTTGTGTTTATGGAACAAACCACATGCATTATTATCATCAGTGTAAATGTCACCTAATCATTTACCATTTGGAAAACAACTGACATCGGGGTTTCACTAATGCAAAAGCATAGAAACACGTTTTACAGCTTATGGCATGCGGTATTTGATTTGTTCCCTAATGTGGGATTATTTCCATGTGTTTATTGAGCTATTGCTGGGTGAAGTGCTGACGGGTTATGTTCCAGGTGCTGGAGGTGCTGTGCTCTTTGTGTGTGTGCCATGGCGTTGCAGTGCGATCCAATCAGAACCTCATCTGTGACAACCTCCTGCCAGACAGAGACTTGCTGCTCCAAACGCGTCTGGTTAATCAGGTTATCAGGTACAATTTAGAATGTTTCCTCTAAACAAGATTTGGTCAGCCATTTTTCTCTTTTCCATTTGGTGCAATCCATTGTAATTCAGTGTTTTTCTAAATTGGTCTGTATTTAGATGTCTCTGATTTTGTCTATGTGGTACATTATACACAAGAATCAGCTATAAAAAGTTACACAATGTACTGTATATTAAAATTAAACATGTTATAGCAAAGGTCATGTTGAATCATGTAAATATTGCAATATTCTATCAATTACTCAGTGACTGAGGGTCTTTTCCTGTGCTTTTATCATGTGTGCTCATGCATTTGTTTGAGCAATGTTTGTCAGCCACAGGGATCTCACTGCTGCAGGCCTTGGTATGATGTTGACATCCTTGATACAAGATATACTTTAGATTCACAGTACAGCACTCATCTTTTCTCTGTTGGATTTGTGTTAATTGAAAAATTGCTAGTCTCCTTCAGTTCATCTCTTTATTTGCTGCACCAATTATTTTTCTCTGAATAGATCAGACCAGTAATGCTGATGTCAGAGCACAGATGTCTTTGCCTCAGCCTCTTAAAGTGAGACTTTGAAGAGATACCTGCTGCCAGAGGTGCCATGGCTCAACGGAGTTAATATTTGGACCTGTTTCATCATATTTCATGTTCTTCTTGGCCTCTCAATATTTTGGACCACTGTGTCAGTCTGATTTTGAAGGCAGCTTCCATTGTTCTTTTCCTTTTTGCTCTATCTACCCTTTCTTCCACAGCATCTGCCTTCTTTTATCATGCTTGTCTCTATCAGCAGGCCATTTTGTTCCTCAGGCCTTATCGCTTATTTTGTTACATACATATACTTCACACCTGCTCAGCCTGTTCCTCAGCTCTTTCTCCTCAAGCCATTTCTTCTTCACTTTTACTTCTTGTTCACCTGAATGTCTTATTACTACATCTTTTTTCTCGTTTCTTTTATCTCATCAGTTTTCTTAATTTTCATTTTCTCCTCACCCAACACATTTTTATCAATTCTTCCAGATGCTCTTGATCACATTCTTATTTATTTAGTCATCCTTCTTCTCCACTTTTATTCATTCTCTTACATCATCTTAACCAGGTCGTACTTTTCCCTCTTAGTCCTTATCCAATTCTCTCAATTCCCGCTATCTGTTCTCATATCCTCACCGTCACGAGATTTTAGCAAGGGCAAGGTTATTGTCATTATATGAACTGGCATTTATTCTCCAGACACCGTGTTGGTCAGACTTAATTCCAGCAACACATTTGTGATTTTCACATCCACATACCTCCCTGTGTTGTTGTTTCTCATACTTGGATTCCAAATTATCTCTGGTAATTTAGTTTCAGCACTGTTATTGGGAGGTCAAAAGGAGAACTCCTACAAGAGCCCAGTTCTCTGTTCATTAATTTATATATTTGTAAACGTGCAGTGTGTTGTGCTCTGTATGGGCTGCATAGGGTAACCAGTGCCCTGTGTAATCATCTACCAGAGACAAGCCAATGCTGTTTATCTTACTCATACTTCTCATCCTAAGTTTCCAGTTTGGCATCTGGATTTTTCACAGTAGGTAATAAATATATCCAGAGAATTTTTTTCAGAATTTTCTGCTTCTCTTGGTTGTACTCACAGTTCCTTTGTTTTACAGTTCTCTAACATTTATGTAAAATAAATACTATAAAAATATCAAACATATATAACTACATCTACTGTACATGCACTACTGTCTTCTGTATTTTTACCCTTTTGACTGCCTTCTGTGTGTACTTCACTACAGCATGAGACCAAACATTTTTCTGGCTATGGGGGAAGATTCAGCTCAGCATCGAAAATGGTACTATGAGCTGGTTGTGGATCATGTTGACCCCTTCCTCACATCTGAGCCCACCCACCTACGCGTTGGCTGGGCTTGCACTAAGGGCTTCCACCCCAGGCCCACAGGAGGAGAAGGCTGGGGGGGCAACGGGGTGGGAGACGACTTCTGCTCCTATGGCTTTGATGGGCTTCACCTCTGGTCAGGTGATGATGAGAATGAGCAAGAGATACACGATTTGGAGCAGAGTACAAATGCTACTGAGGAGCTTGCTCACTGAACTGTGATTCCACATGTAATCATATATTTGTTAGGAAGCATAATAACGAGCCATAAATGATTCATGACCTGGCCTACAGTAATGATTTGTGTTCTGGAATCTTGAATCCTTTCATAAATAGAATTACATACAAGTTGAAAACATGTACATACAGCATATTGCTCCACATCAGATTGGAGCAAAATCAGATTAAAAATCCATTTTATTACATTTAATGCAAACACCATATAAACTGTATTTGCCATGTTTGGCTAAAAAGAGCAATAAAGAAATTACATTAAATGGATGCTCTTTAATTTGCCTGTTTATAAAACTTGAAATCTCAGCAGCTATTAAAATAAAAGCATTGCTATTGTTGAACAAACCTTATTTATTCAGAGAAAGCTAGTGGCATATTGCTTGTTCCTTAATCCTGCACAGAGAGAAATGGAGATTAATGATAATAAGTAAGCTGGGGTAATGCTTGCAGTAAGTAATGCTGCAGCAGTACATTTGATCTTGACAGAGATATGTTTATGCTAAGTTAAGATCAATTTGGAATACTGGGAAAAGGGAACAGTTTCATAACATTTTAGTCTTGTCCAGTATAAGGAATTGCCATGCAGACTGATTCCATATATTGCATAATTTTACTGAACTGCACTTTGCAGGAGCACCATTAATGTGCCCCTGCTTCTGTGCAGGTATTTAGACTTTACTGCTGTCTATACAGTATGTTTTTTTTTTCATTTGGGCTTAATTTCATTAAACCTGAACAGGAAATGTTTGATCTTTGTAAGCTGTTGCTCTCTTTTTTCAAACAATAAAAAATAAATCTGAATATGGATGATCTTAAAGACTGTGTCTCCTGCATCTCAGGCTGTGTTGGTCGGAGAGTGACCTCTCCCTTCCGTCACCTGCTGAAAGATGATGATGTGGTCAGCTGCTGTCTGGACCTCAGTGCTCCCTGCATCTCTTTCCGGGTCAATGGGCTGCCTGTGCAGGGCATGTTGGAGAACTTCACTGCTGATGGACATCTTTATCCCGTGGTCAGCTTCTCAGCTGGAATCAAGTCAGTAGTGGACATGTGCTTGTATTTAAAAGTTCTGCATGTCAGTCATGGTTTCATTCCAAAGGTAATTTTAACTACTAGTAATTTGTTTTCAAGGGCTGTCCCTTTTTTATTGCACAGACTGCCTGTGTTTATGTTCCTCTCACTAAATACAGTAAATTCCTACCTTGTTTTATTTCTTTTTCTGGGCACCAGCGTTCATTTTCTGTTTGGGGGAAGGCATGGAGAGTTTCGCTTCTTACCCCCACCAGGATTTGCTCCATGCTCTGAGTCTCTGCTACCTGGGGTCAAGCTGAAGGTAGAGCCGTGTCAGAAATACATCTTACATCGTGAAGAAGGAAAACAAGAGCTCATTGGCCCTTTAGTACCCCTCAATCCAGTTACCTTCACTCCCACACCTGTAGACATCAGCAAGGTAACCAGAGTTCATTTATGATTCCGATTTTTATTTTGCAACAGGCGACAGACATTATATCCTATTTGAAGTTGTCTGTGTACACGATATACAGGGTAGGATATCACTGTAGCTGTCCATTTAGTTCACCATTACTATACTCTCATAGGTGGTATTGCCCCTGCAACTTGAGGACATTCGTGAAAAAATGGCTGAAAATATTCACGAACTCTGGGTGATGGACAAGATTGATCTTGGATGGACACATGGACCTGTAAGAAGAGAGAAACACCGGCAATAACTGAGCATCTCACATTAGTAAATCATTGCATATATTGAATATTGAAATGTTGTCTAAAAGCTTTGGTGTGTGAGAAATTAATACCTTACAAAAAATTTACCCCAGCTTACATCAGTGTTGCTTGTAGTTTGAAAATTATTAGCTTTTGTCATACAGGTGAGAGATGAGACTAAGAAGCATGATCCCTGTCTGGTGGAGTTCTCCAAGCTGCCAGAGCAGGAGAGAAACCAGAACCTTCAGGTGGCTCAGGACACCCTTAGGTGAGCACTTTTGTTGTTACAACACAGTAGACAAAAATGGTGTGTTGAAATTATTTAAAAATACAATGCAGTGTCTGTCAGGGCTTTTCATAACTTTTTCTGTTTTATTTATTTATTTTTTCCACTGCAGGACTCTCAATGCCCTTGGTTTTCACATCGGATTAACTGATGACCGTGCTGAGGAGAGAGTCCAATACATGAGATTAGCCCCCAAGTATGTACATATTTCATAGTATAAAACAAACTAAGTATACCCCTGGTTGATATGACTAAACTGTTAAGTTATTGCAAATCTTCTCTCTGTATTTTTGTTTATTAGCTAAAACCAAGAAGAATGAAGCCATATAGTTTAAAGATGTTTCTCTAATTAAAGTATAAATAAGGCTCCATATCTAGAACCAGCTGCATGTACAATAAAGGTCAGTGTACAGTATGTATGACTTTTGTTGCAGTGGTCACAGATTTATTTACGGCTGACACATTGAGATTGTACTTCACAGCCTGTATTTTCAAACTAGTTTGTTTAACCTGTTTGTTTTTAACTGTGCATCATGTTAAATACTGTACCATTCACTTTACCTTAAAAATTGTCCAATTATTGTAAGATGGTACAATTTTGAATCATGTAACAGTTCAGTGATTTTGCACAGGGGTGTACTTAGTTTTGTTGTATACTGTATATAATGTTGTTTGGAGCAGTTGCACATAGCTGTGATGACTATGCACTGTATCTTAGTCATGAATGCTGTAAAAGCAGAAATACATTATTTCATTCCCTTTCTCAGGTACGAGCAGGCCACTGGCTACAGACCTTCCCCAGTAGACTTGAGCCAGATTTTTCTGAGCACAGCCCATGAGAATGTGGTTAATTTGCTGGCAGAGAATGAACACAATGTTTGGGCCAGAGAGCGCATCAAGCAGGGATGGACCTATGGAACCCAACAGGTTTACGCTCTGTATTCTTTCTGATCAGGAATTGAGGAAATGCTTTTGAACAATGTGCTTGTATGTTGGTTTACTCAAAATTAGTTTTTTTTGGATAGTGTATTCCCTGTACATACTGTAGTCTCTGTGACATAACACAGAAACAACACAGTGTGGCAACACAAACAATATGGTGGCCATTTTTCCTTTTTACAACTGTAATTTTTAGGATGTAAAAGCAAAGCGGAGCCCATACCTTGTGCCCTACAGCCTGCTTGATGAAAGGAGGAGGAGAGTGGGCAGGGAGAGTGTCAAAGACGCTGTCTGTATCCTGCTGGCCTACGGTTACAGCCTGGAGCCCTTTAACCGGGAACAGAGTATGCTCAAAGCGTTCTTATCAGTCTTGACAGTTGTAATTCATTTCACTTGTATTTATTGTAATAAATGTAAATTTAATACATCACACTTTATCAAGTAAAACTAATGCAGATTATTTGTTGCACCGTTTTACAGAATATATATATAATACTGCAGTGTTTGTCCATGTTACTGTATATTAGATACAATCCATTTAATGGAGCTTGAATGCAAATGTGTTAATATTTTAGCAGATAACCCTACTTTGTTGCTTTTATGGTTTTGCAGCCACGTTATCAAACACACATCTCTTCTCTGCTGAGAAGTGCAGAGTGTTCAGACCAGATAAATCATACGCCGTGACCCGGGGGAAGTGGTATTTTGAATTTGAAATATTGACAGCAGGGAGTATGAGAGTGGGCTGGGCTCACCCAGGCTGTACCCCAGATAAAGAGCTTGGCTCAGATGACAAGGCATTTGTCTTTGATGGATTTGAGGTGAGATATTTAAATTTGTTTGTGTTTATTACAGCCACATGGCCAGTATTGTTGTTCAAACTGCATTAAGTCTAGATTACAGTGGAACTTTGTCACAGTATAAGTGTGTTGCAAAATGTGACTTTATGATCCCACAGTTTTTGTGTTTTGTTGATCTACTCAGTCTAGAGAACTGCATCTCAATGTAATAAAAGTCAGAATTGAGAGATTTACAAACGTACAACTGGTGTGTTTGGAGAGCAGACAGCAAAAGAGCTGTCGTCCTATGTTTACCTAATGAGAGGAATTGAAATATCCCATTAAAAAACAACATTTGCAACTCATCCTGTACTGAGTTGGTTCTTTTACTGCTTTTCTGTTCCTGTGTGGGACTTTTACTCGTCCCCTTTTGTGACTAAATTGTCTTCCTGTTGCTTTCAGGCTCAGTGGTACCATCAGGGCGGTGAACCTCTGGGACGTCCTTGGCAGAGAGGCGATGTGGTGGGTTGCTTGGTGGACATGGTTGAACACACCATGATTGTCACACTCAATGGAGAGGTGCTATTTAATGAAAGAGGATCAGAGCTGGCTGCCAAGGATTTCAATATCAGAGACGGTCTGGATGATTTTTTTTTTTGACATTATACAGTGAATTGTACAGACTAGATACTGTCTACTTTGGTTAAACATCATTTAACTTGTATACTGGGTTTCCATACTATATGAATGCTCAGCCACTCCTTGGCACATTTAATAATATATTATCAACTCAACTGTCTACTAAACTGAAAGATAATTAAGCATGACATTGGGTTTTAAATTAGCAATGCTATCCTTTTCATGAGAAAGTTTGACTTATATCCTCAATTTAACTATGTTTATCAGAATGAAATTTCCATATATTCCCTAGGCCTGTTACCGGTGGTCAGTGTTGGGGTGAACCAGATGGGGAGGCTTAACCTGGGCCGCCATGTGGACTCTCTGCAGTTCTTTACTGTATGTGGCCTGCAGGAGGGCTATGAGCCATTTGCTGTCAACATGGCCAGAGACCCACCCCTGTGGATGAGTTGGAAAAACCCTCATTTTACTAGCATGCTGCCTGATGATCACACCTTACAGGTTAGTGTACCCAGTAGTTTAGTTTATATGCCTTTTCAGGTATGTAATATGGTGCACTATTTTGTGAAATATTTAAGTACAGGCTTCTACAGGGGTCTACTGGATAATTTACATGAATTCTGATCTCATTCAAATTTTATTCAAGGTCACTAAAGTTAGCAGCTCAGTGGAGTCCTTTCCCATCCTGAGGGTCTCTCAGCAGTTGTTTGCACACCATAATGGAGACAATGAGATGGGCTTTTATCGGCTCAGCATGTCTGTTGAATGTGCTGCCATCCTCACTAACCCTGCGGGGGCTGTGCTTCCAGTGGCCTCCAACACTCTCTCTCAAGGTTCAGATGATATCACATCATATCATGCACAATATGTTTTAGTTAGCCACTGAGAACTTGAGAAGACTACACAAAAGATGGCAATTATGACTTGTTTGGTTGACCATAAATGCAAAAACAAAAATACCTGAGAAACCTAAAAATACCTGATGCATCATGTAAATTTAAAAATGTAAAAATTACAGGCCAAATACAAGATAAAAATTTAGTGAAATAAGTATGAGATCTTGCTAGATGTTTTGCTTTTACACAGATTATTCACTGTCCAGATTACTGATATTTTACTGTTATGATCTTGATGAACAGTTCTGCTTAATCTTCCTAGGGACCTGCTTTAATTAATTCTTGTTGTCTTTATAGGAAAGAAAGAACAGGAAGAAGTGGACTCTGACTTTGAAGTGCTGATGAAGTCGGCTCGCAGCTTTGGTGGTTCAAGAGATGAGCTCAATCATAAGGATCATAGCCAAGACAAAACATCAAGATTGAAACAAAGGTAGGTTGGGATGAAACTAAATTTAGGAAAGTACAGAATGATGTGTTTATTGTATAATTTGGTATATAGAAAGGTAGGTATAAAGAAATGATCATTTGTTTCAGTAGTTTGGATAGTAAGGTACCAGTTATTAGGAAATGGTATGTATTTTATATTTATCCATATTTGCTCTGTAATCAATTGTGAATGAAGTTTTTTTTCTTACAAATGAAATTAGACAGAAAAAAATAAATGAAGACTGTAAAAAGGCACACAAATAGCAAATGGGCTCTCATGATGAATCTTTGTGATGTGTACATATTAATGTGTGTTTCTTTTTTTTAAGGTTCATGCTGAAGCGGACTAAACCAGGCCTAGTCAGTAGCAACTCCTCTGCACGCCTTCTGGAAGATGTTGTAGTCGAAAAAGATAACTATGATCATCTTATCCAAAGCCCTAGAGTAAGGCTTTGATTTTCTCTTTATCTCAACTCATCATAAACAGATAACCACTAAACATATAAAAAACTAATTACTGATAAATGCTTTAAATAATTAGTGTCAGAATGCACTAAAATGAAACTGAATATAATGTGGAATATGCACATTCACTGTGCTTCAGCTCTACATGCACTGTACAGGTTTAACAGCCACAGTAAAAACATAGAATGCATAATGCACATACCAATTATTGACACCAGCCGACCTCTTTGTTTCAGTATTACTACTCAGTGAAGATTCTTCCAGGCCAGGAGGCATTCAATGTGTGGGTTGGCTGGGTGACTTCTGACTTTCATCAGTACGACATGACATTTGATCTCAATAATGTCCACACTGTGACTCTCACTCTTGGAGACGACATTGGCAAAGTCCAGGAAAGGTTGGTGCTCATCAGGACTTGTATTATTAGTATAGGTGACTTTACTAAGTGTTTACATACTAATTGCAGCCAGGGATGTTGTTGATTGTAGTCATGATCCTTCGTGCACCATCAACATAAACTGTTATATAATTTTGTTTCCTGTATTATTGAAAAACTTCTGTTGTATTCCATTGTGCCTTAATTTAGCTACAAATTGACAATTTAACATATCCTTGTTCTTCTGCGCAGTGTAAAGAGGTATAACTGTTACATGGTGTGTGCTGGAGAGGCAACAGGCCTGTCTCAGAGTCGTAGAAGCACAGGACTGGAAATTGGCTGTTTGATCGACACATCCACTGGGCTGCTCACTTTTACCTCTAGTGGAGTGGAGATGGCCACCTTCTACCAAGTAGATCACACAGCACACTATCTGATTGGTTCATCCTATTTCTCTCCATCATTACCAAGTATTTTTCTTTAAATACTCGGTAAATACATTTATGCAAAATTATGCTAAGTTAATGCACATTGAGCCTCATATTAACCTAATATACAGTGGCTTCAGAAATTATTCAGACCTTTTGCACATTTTGTTGGGCTATATATTTAATTTCAAATGTGTAGACTCAACCCATAATAAAACATTTTAGACATTTTTGCAAATGTATTATAAATCAAAAATGGAAATTTCTCTTTCATAAAGATGGTCAGACCTGTTGCTGTGATGCTCCAAGCTGTGGTCAGATGCATTCTGTTTGCTTTAAATATTCTGGAGATTTGTCGAGTGAGACAAATGAACTTGATGTAGTTTAGAAATACTTGTGTACAAGGTCCCACAGACAAAAACCTAACCATGAAGTCCAACAAGCTACTTTCTGAAGCTATTGTATATCGCACATATAAATCTAATGCATTATTACTGTGAAATTGAGGGAGTACTGTCTCACCACTATTCAGGTGGAAGCCAGTACAAAGCTGTTTCCTGCTGTTTTTGTCAAGCCCACCACCAGCAACATGTTTCAGTTTGAACTGGGACGTGTTAAGGTAAAGGAACTTTAAATTATTAATCATGTCAGACATTACACATGTTTGTTGGCATGATGTATTGAAAGAAAAAACATATTTTACAAGTGTGGTTGAATCTAGTTAGACAGAATAGATTAGTAGATATTTAGATTTTCAGCCTGACATGATGAACAGTTCAGTGTTTTAACTTGTTTCATTCTTTGTAAACATTTGGTGGTCTATTATGCTGTTTTCTGTATTTGTCTTTCTTTCTATCCAGAATGCGATGCCGCTATCAGCAGGCTTACTCCGCAGTCAAAGAAGAAATGCTGATCCTCAGTGTCCACCAAGGGTCCAGGTCCAACATCTCAGCCCAGTTTCATGGACCAGAGTACCAGACCATGCATTAAAAGTGTCAGTAGATTGGCCAGATGAGCACCGTGGCTGGAGAGTCCAGTGCTCTGAGCCCCTTCAAGTCATGACCCTTCAGATCCCTGATGAAAACAGGTTAAAGAGCAGAAATAAACGTGTTTGGGAATACACATTCAAGTGCACAGGATGTGGCGCTTGTGTAGTTTATTTATAATGGTATTATTTGACATGTACAGTATCTCACTGTGATGTATAAACACGAGGCAGTACTGTAGTCAACAGCATGGAATTTAATCATATCTTTACCTTTTGATGACATACTTCTAGGTGTGTTGACATTTTGGAACTGTCTGAACTTGGTGAGCTCTTGACCTTTCACCACCACACCCTGCTCCTCTACTGCTCCTTATGCGCCCTTGGCAACATCAGAGTTTGCCATGTGCTCTGTAGTCATGTGGACCAGTCCCAGGTCCTTCATGCCATTCAGAATCCCCACCTTCCAGGTCCTCTTCGCTCTGTATTTTACCAGTTACTTATTCAGGTGATTGTTTGCAGTAATGTTTTTTTCCTCTTCTTATGATTACAGTCATTGATAAAATGAAATTTGAAATTTGAAAAAAATGAAATTTATTTCTGCTCACCAAGGAATATTGTTTTTTTTTTTAAATTCTGTAGGTTCACCTCAGCAGCCACACCACAGCATGTCTCATGATGAACCATGAATACATTGTGCCTATGACAGACCAGACCAGAGAAATCAGTCTTTATCCAAGCCCTGCTAATTGTGTAAATGGGAGGAATGGTCAACCTCCAGAAAGCATTCCCAACATCACTTTTAGCACATCCCTCAAACCACTGATGCATTTCTCATCTCCTTGCTTTGTCAGGAGTAATGAGATGGATGCAGGTGAAATAGCCCACTCAGACAGCCCAGAAATCCCTCTGGACATTTTGAAGAATCTGACTGTGGAGATGTTGACTGCTGGGGTACGGGCTGTGGGTCAGGATGTCAGGGATCCTGTAGGAGGCAGCATTGAGCTTCTGCTAGTTCCCCTAATTAGACTGTTCTGTACCTTGCTGGTAATAGGGGTATTTGGGGATGAGGACCTAGACAAAGTCCTGAGACTGTTGGAGCCGAGAGTGTTCTCTGTTGATGCTGAAACAGCAGAGGAGAAAGTGGAAGAAGTAACAAGCGATGATGAAAAGGAACAGAAAGAGGCCAACAGAAAGGAAAAGGACACCGCTAAACAAGGACTTCTTCAAATGAAGCTTTCAGAAGCAGTCAAACTTGAGGTGAACAAATAAGTAGATTTTTTTTTTTTTACATGTTTGTCTTTGTTCACATTACATTGGGTGTAATGTTGGATTAGCTTTGGATGCTGTGCTGTTAGATTCCTATAAACAGTTTAAAATTAATCACAAAGGTTTCATATCTTTATTTCTCCAGCTCTGCCATTTGCTGTCCTACCTGTGTGATTGCCACGTGCGGCACAGGGTAGAAGCTGTGGTTGCCTTCTCTGACAACTTTGTAGGTCAGCTGCAGGACAACCAACGCTTTCGCTACAACCAGGTCATGCAGGCACTCAACATGTCAGCCGCCCTCACTGCCCGTAAGACGAAGGAGTTCCGCTCACCTCCACAGGAGCAGGTTGAATGGGTTGAAATCTAGCTCAATCATGAATGTTAGCCAAGATGATTACGGTGTAAAAATACTAAGTTATGGTTTCTGCTATGTACCATGAGCTATGTACTCTAAAAGAAGAAAATGTTGGGTTGCTGTAATTCACAACATAAATGTGGAATATTGTCTTTACTGTTTGTGTCTTCAGATCAAAATGCTGCTGAGCTTCAGGGAAGAGAAGCAGCAGGAGAACTGTCCATGTCCAGTGGAAATCCAACAACAACTGCGAGACTTCCATCGCCTCCTTAAAGCACACTGTGGTTCGAACACAGTTTATCTTTGAGTGATGCATTATTAATCTTCATTCTGCCAGGGAACTATGAAAAAGGAAGATATCTCATCTTATTCTGTAACTGTGCAGGCATCAAATTGGACAATGACTCAGAAGATGAAGAGGATGTTAAGATGTCTGTAAAAGACTGGGTTCTCAGTCTCATTGTCCCTGGACTGAGAAAGGCTACCATAGAAATGGGGAGGTCTAAATTGCAGAGTGCTAGTAAGTGCTATTGTGTGAAAGGCTTTTCTTTGCCTCAGCATGTTTGTGGTACTGTGCTTTCTTTATTTTGTTACGTTTACATGATATGTTAATTTACCTCTATATGGGATGGTGCAACATTTTTGGTTCAGGATCAATACTACAGTATATTGGAACATAGCTGGGTTCTAATAAGACACAGCAAAATCTTAAATAATAACATGACAACATCAGTCAGTCACTTTCCATTAGCAAACATGGCAAATCAAAATTTGATGGGACAGCTTACTCTTCTTCTTTTATATACAAGGCTTGTGGGGCCTCATTCCTCTGCTTCTATCTTTACTTTTCACATGGTGGTACTTTTTCAGAGTCCCTCAATAAGCTGATCTCTAAGACAGTGGTGAGCTGGGCCCAAGAGAGTGAGATGGACGACCCTGAACTGTTTAGGGCTCTCTTCTCATTGCTGCACCGCCAGTATCAGGGCCTTGGGGGCCAAATGGCAGGACCACTTTGCAGAGCCTATACAATCAGCCAGGTTTCGGTGGAGGATACCATGACTCTCCTGTCCTCACTGGGCCAAATCCGTGCTCTCCTCAGTGTCCGCATGGGTAAAGAAGAGGAGAGACTGATGATCAGAAGACTAGGGTGGGTGGAAATTTAGATTGCAACATGGGGTTGCCTCTTTTGGAACCGCTTGATTGTGATTTTGTGGAGATAACATTGATTAACACACACATTAAAATGTCCTCTGTGATATGGAGTGTGTTCTTATAATTTGTCATTTTTTTTGTTTGCACTCTGCAGAGACATCATGAATAACAAAGTGTTTTACCAGCAACCCAACCTAATGAGGACACTGGGGATGCATGAGACCGTGATGGAAGTAATGGTCAATGTTCTTGGGGAAGGGGAGTCAAAGGTGAGAGAAGCATTAAAATATATATTAGTAATGTAGAGAATGCATGTGACCAAAGAAGCATGTCATCAGTATTTTTATTAATTGGTCAGTTGAACAGAATTGGTATCCCCTACTCCATATCCCAAAAGTAAGTGTTAGAAAAACCAAGGCAAAGCTATAATAATGTGTTCCGCATCATTAATTGGAAAATACTCCCTGCAATCGTCAGTTTTTTTAGTGTCTGCCTTCTCACTTTTTGCTTTTCTTATATCTATACATACATTTTTGTTAGGAGATTACCTTTCCCAGGATGGTGGCCAGCTGTTGTCGATTCCTGTGTTATTTTTGCCGCATCAGCAGTCACAATCAAGGGGCCCTGTTCGACCGTCTCAGCTATCTGCTGGAAAACAGCAGTGTTGGACTAGGTAAATCTGATTCTTTCACTTGTTTATGTATATGTACATTCTATAGGAACTCCTGTAGAATATACAGGAGTTACAGTATTACAATCCAGTAGCCCACCATTACACTACAAAACCTGATTTGTGAAGTCTAAAAGTTTGGTGATATAAAGGCCCACTTCTTTGTACATGGCTAACTCAGTGATCCAAATCCATATTTTGACATACTGTGACCAAAAGGCCATAATTACACACACACGCACACACACACACACACACACAGACAATCTGACTGTTAAAAGGCCATTGGAGCCAGAACATATGGATTTAATAACATTAAAATAGGGACTTATCATTTAAACTCTCAAAGTTAACAATGATAAATGCAGTGCTCACTCTATAAAGTTCTTCTCTGAGGTGCTGCTTTTGAGGGGATTTCAGTTTTTGGGCTCTGATAAGTTTGTGAAGATGTTAGGATGTTACTATAGTAAGAAACGTCAACATCCTGACATTATATAGTATTTAGTGTATGAGTTGGTTCTCTGATTGTTTTATGCCTTTGTCTCTCAGCTTCACCGTCTATGCGTGGGGCCACGCCTCTGGATGTGGCCTGTAATGGATAATATTGAACTGGCCTTAGCTTTGAGGGAGCATGACTTAGAGAAGGTGAGTTCGTATTCTGTGCCTTCTTCTACAGTATTTAACAGTCACCTTTATATCATGCATCCACAGATAAGTGCCTTGATCTACACTGAACATGATCTGCCATTGATTATTGTCATTTCACCTCTTATTTATGTTTGAGTGTTTCGGCAACACTTTCATTGTCTGTGAAGTCTTAAGATTTTTTTGTATTTTACTGTATTTTATTTACTCCCCACCACCTTCTTGCAGTGCATAGCGGTAATGTTTTATGGCACCAACAGTATACTAAGCAGCATATAGCGTAATAAGTGTCACTACCTGCATAACTACAACCAGTTACTCAAAATCAAATTATTAGTTAACATTTTAAGAAAGGCATCAGGTTAAGACAACATACAGTATATTAGATTTAACAAAGGAAAATTTGTAGTTTATAAAAATTGGTAACTGCCTCATCCCTTTAACCTAATCCAATCTCCAGGTGGTGCAGTACCTTGCTGGCTGTGGTCTCCAGAGTTGTCCCATGCTAGTGGCTAAAGGCTATCCTGATATTGGATGGAACCCTGTGGAGGGCGAGCGTTACCTGGACTTCCTACGTTTTGCTGTCTTTTGTAATGGTAAAAAATTAGTTCTACCCTTAAAGTTTGTCCAATCCAGCAGGCATTCAGTGCTTTAAATGACACGACACATTATCTAAACACTTTGGTGGACCTCATGCGTAGACATCTACGTAAGTCGGGCTGGTTGTTGGTTATCAATTCACTTCATGAAAAGTTGCAGTAGTCTTTATCTTCTGTGTGTTCCTTGATCACAGGTGAGAGTGTAGAAGAAAATGCTTACGTGGTGTTAAGGTTACTGATTCGTCGACCTGAGTGCTTTGGGCCTGCCCTGCGAGGTGATGGCGGAGAAGGTCTCCTAGCAGCCATGGAGGAAGCCATCAGGATCTCTGAGGACCCCTCTATGGATGGACCTTGCATTAAGTACCAGTCCAGCAGAACACTGCCAGTGTTAGAAATGTGTGGACACAATTTAAGATGTTGGAACTAAATTGGCATTGGTAAAGGGCTATCTGTGGCATCTTAGTACAGTTTTCAATTCTGCTGTAGCCACAACTATAGATGGCAAGGAATGTAAACAATTCAGTAGTTTTAGCGTTCCCATTTGTTTTCTGATTCATGGTGTAGAGCAATATCCATTTCTGCTGTATCACTTTCTCACACAGATTTGCAAGCTCATTGGTTTTGCAATAAAAGTTCACTATACTTTGTGTAAACGGCAAATAATTTGAGACCCTTAAATGTAAACAAAATTGTATTAGGGTGTAAGTCTACTCAGCACTGCCTTATCAAAAAAAAAAAGTTTAATTTATGATTACAAGAATACTTTTCTGCCAAGTTTTTTCAAGCATTAAATTGTTGGAATACATCATCTGTGTAGGACCAAACTGCCCTTGGTAAAGAGAGGATAAATTGCATACTGTAAATACAAAATTGTAAATGTTTAATGACATTGATTATTTTAAAGAATTTATGTGAGATGGGAGCTGACCCTTAATCTGTCTGCACAATTTCTGTTGTTGGCAATACATCCTGTTGTTATTTTAAATATGTTTTCAAAGTAATTAGAAATTTAGAGGAAGGCTTTTATCTGACTAACAGGCTGATTTATTGATCATTATTACAATCAGTCATAAATTTTACTTGATGATAAGCTTTTGACCGTCATTGTTGTTTCCTGTAATAGAGATGTTGACCAGGACAGTGATGATGACCTCGTTCACATGGGAAATGCCATCATGACCTTCTACTCAGCCCTCATTGACTTACTGGGGCGGTGTGCTCCAGAGATGCATGTGAGTGTCAACCCTTACCAGTCCTTTCTCATAAATAATCACTAATGTCTCAAACAATAAAGCTAATAGAGAAAGTCTGTAAATTGCCTTTTAACAAACAAGTCAGAGTGAGCCCAAAAAAAAACCCCAAACCAAAACAACAAAAAAATTTATTAGCTTTACTTGTACACATTGTTTTTTGACACAGAATACATTTAGACTGCAAAATGGGTTACAACGCAGCATTAGTAAGTAATTTATAGAGTCATTGAGCATCCTTACACTGAAGATGCACTATAGTACAAATTTGTATGTGACATGTTTATTTGCCAGTTGTGTTCATTATGTATTAATCTGAAGTAAGATGTTCATAAATGGTTTTAACAGTCTTTTCTGAATTGTCCAGTTGATTCAACAAGGCAAAGGTGAAGCCATTCGTGTCAGGGCAATTCTGAGGTCACTCATCCCCACTCAGGATCTTGAGGGAGTCATTAGCATCTCCTTTCAAACTCCATCTATGTCTAAAGGTCAGCTCATCCTACCATATTGGCGAATATTGCAATATTACAGCACCTTGAACTTGTACTGGGCCACTGCATAGAAACCTGGTTTTCCTGTTAAGACTGCCTATTAAATTGGGATTTCCTTTAAGATCTCATTAGATGTTAAAGCTCTATTCTGTGGCTATACTGTCTCTTTGACTCTCTTGTCATCTCACCAAATGTACAGTACCATTCACACTAGGCCATTATAATCTTTGGACATGACATGTAATGTTTACTGTTCATTTGTTTCTCCAGATGGTGTCGTGGTTGAGCCTGACCTATCTAGAGTGTTCTGCCCAGACCACAAAACAGCTATGGTGCTCTTCCTGGACCGGGTTTATGGCATCGATTCCCAGAGTTTTTTGCTCCACCTAGTAGAAGTTGGCTTTCTTCCTGACCTTCAGGCAACTGTTTCGCTTGACATTGTGAGGAGAGAACATTTTATTGCGTTGCCCCATTCACTTGCTTGAAAGATTCACTAACGTTTTAGGAGAGACCTGTAACCTCTTATTGATCCAAGCGGTACCCTGTCATCTGTGGAAAATATCCACTTCACTCCCCTCATATCCTTAGAGTTGACTTGAATATATTATAAAAAATACTGTCACTGTTGAAATATCCTCTTAAGTATGACTTGAGAGATCAATTTCACTGACTTGCATAAGACTTGGTTGTCTAGCTCCACTTAGGTAACTGGATTCCAATCTTTTTCATTGCAGACTGGATTAGGATCCACTGATATGGCCCTGGCCCTCAACAGATATTTGTGCTCAGCTGTGCTTCCCCTTCTCACCAAATGTTCATATCTCTTCTGTGGATTAGAGGACCATACCTTGCTGGTTGATTCTCTCATCCAGGCAGTCTACAGCCTTTCCAGGGCTCTCAACTTGACCAAGGCTCAGAGAGACACCATTGAAGATTGTTTGTTGGCTGTGTGCAGGTATGGTTTTTAGTTTGTACAATTAAGCAACTTACAAGTCTGTCTCCACAAAGTTACCATTAAGAAAGTCACTCATAAGATCAATTACTATGTGTGTGTGTGTGTGTGTGTGTGTGTTGGTAAGTGTAGTGTGCATCTACTCATGTGACTAATGTTGCACTCATTGGTGTCCCCAGTAAACTTCAACCATCTATGATGCAGCCTCTTCTGCGACGTCTTGTCTTTGATGTTCCCCGTCTCACAGACCACAGCAAGGTGCCACTAAAGGTGAATATGCAAACTGTAGTTTACTGTAATATATGTGAAACTGTACTGAAACACTACCTTAAAACCATACATTTTGATGACTTTGGTTAATACTTTTCATCTACCAGCTTTTGGCCAATCACTTTGAGCAAAGGTGGAAGTACTACTTGCTAAATGGAGGGCAGGGTGACCAGGATTTGGCCTCTGAAGAGGAGCTTCACCTGTCTACAAAGTTGTTCTGGGGAGTGTTTAAGGCCTTGTCAAAGAAGGTAAACCATACCGAATACCCGTGTCGGTCTCAAGATCACACTGAAATGATGAAAATTAGAATAATATTTTTCTAGAGCACCAGAAAAGTTTCAAAAAATGATTTCAATATTTGACATTGTAACCCTACTATTCATTTATCATTTTTTCTTTTTCTATCCTCAGTCTGTTTTAGGAGAAACAGCTAAATGCATACTAATGTTCTCCATTAGAGTACTTCTAGGAGAACCTGACTGGAGAAAGCTATAACACAGTTGAGATAAATTTTTCATATGCTGGTGTGAAACCTCACACTTTTGGAAATATGAGAGACATAATAACTGAAACTTCTCTCTGCTCACTGTAGGTATGCTGATCAATTTTTATTTATTCTGGGAAGCCAGATGAGAGCAAGCTCTCATTCCTAATGGTGCCCTGACAATACATCAACCAATTAACACCACACACAAAATAAAATCAGTATTAAAAATATTACAGTATAACAAAATTAAAGACAGTATATCTGTCAAACACTTAACTGACTGATTCAGAACATTAAAACATCAACAAAATAAGTTCATGGGGTCATTTCAGGGCACATGTGGCTCACATCAAATGGCCTCAGGAACAGAACTCCAAGTCCGCATTACACAGAATTGCATAATTAACGTCGAGTATAACTTGCTGTATATGTACTGTAGCTTTAGTGTACTGTATTTTGATTTCCTGCTTAATGTATGCTTTTGACTTAATTTCTTAAACACCTTGTAAATGAGACTTTTCTTTTCTTGGGGGACGAGATTTACAACTAGATTTCAGTTAGAGAAATTGGATTTCTTGGTACCTTGACTAATATTCTAACAAGGTTTTTACATGGCTACATGTTGTGTGCGAGATGATTTTCAGGGGAAGTATTTCTGCAGCTGGGATATGTCTTTGTATTCAGAGTAATTCAGTTCAATGTGTTGCTCAATTTGAATAAAATAAAAATGTTACTCAGCTAAATTGTGCTTTGTTAGTATAATTAAGACACATACACACTAAGAAAGAAACAAGAAACACAAGGACACACATTGTTACTTCTACAAAGCACCCAAGGCCATTCTTCATCAGACTCAGCAAACTGTAGAGCTACGAAGGCATTTCTGTGACTGGATGTCAGCTCTGCTCTATGATAGATTTTGTTCAGGAGTCAGGGGCTGAAAGAAATCTGATAACTGACCAGAATATTAGTGTAACCAGGTTATTGCAGTTTGTGAGCTGCAGTAGTTCTCCAGTGTCTTTCCTAACCTGATCTCCTGATGTACATCTCCCTCCTATGACAGTTGCAGTAATTTTGTGTGGGTGATGGTGACAATTTTTTTTATTTTCTCTAATGTTCACAGATATTGGTACAGGAAGGCAGGCTGGTGGAGGAGGACCTGCTGATCTTTGAAATCTCTTCGATCATGTGTCTTGATAAGTCCCATGCTCTCTCTTTCTTTGTTTCCACAGCCTTATGAGCCTCAGTTATTTAGGCTGTGTGTCCAGTGCCTGGCTGCTGTTGCCAAGGCCCTGCCTCCTGACCATATGGACCCAAGCTGTGTTTCTCAGACGGGAAAAATAACATCCATGGACACAGATGGGCACTTTGACCCTCAGCCCGTAGATACCTCCAAGTAAGATGCTGACCCAGGGATATTTAACGACTATGGCCAAAAAATTGCTTGTTGTTCATACAGAATATTCTAAAGATGAACTGTTCTGCTCCACAGCAAGTGTAAGCTGTCATTAAGTAGCCAGAATTGACCTCGTAGCAAAGTATCATATTTATATAAGTGTGAATATTAACACTTATTTAAATCTTACCATGAATAATGCAGAGTTGTATTCAAATGAGAATTTGTGTGATTGAGACAAATGACATATAATTTCTTTCCCTGTGCTAGTGTGTCCGTTCCAGAGAGACTGGAGTTTGTAGTGAACAAGTACGCAGAGCATACGCATGAGAAGTGGTCACTGGACAAGGTAATATCAACATAAATATTTTTCAAATTTGAATGGTTGTGTAACATTGGCAAATGAGAGTAGGTGTACAGTATGATATCCTGTTCAGGCCTGAACCACTTAAGGAACATTTTTGAGAATTTTCCTGCTTGAAACTGTGAAAACATCTCTTGTGTATGGATGTGACAATGTAATTTTCTTTTTCTCTATATGATATAATGCATGTTGTGGTGTGTGCAATTCGATGACAACAACGTATGACTAGCTGGATAATTGTACTTTATTCCTCTTTTTTCCCCTTTCTAGCACTGGTTTGATTATTTAAAGAATAACCTAATATATTGACTTGCCTTCTCTTATTTTACAAAAAATATTAAGTTGCTGGTGTATGGAGTCCACACTATTTCGCTAGACAAAGTGATACAATTTGTGATGCTTTTGTATCGTGTATACATTAAATTTCGATGTATTGTCCCATCCCAATCTTCTCTGTTGTGTGATTGAGTTAATATGTTTGTCTACATATATTATAAGGTGTGATTTTTATTTTTATTTTTTAACCAAATCTGTGTGTCTCTGTCAGTTTGCCAGTGGCTGGGTTCATGGAGAGCAGTTTTGTGAGAACACCAAAGTTCACCCTCTACTCAGACCGTACAGGGCTCTGGCTGAGAAGGTATAAGCCTATTTTTATGGTGTGTGTGTGTGTGTGTGTGTGTGTGTGTGTGTGTGGCTGGGTAATGAATGTATTCAGTAAAAAAAAAAAAAAAGAAGTGAACTTGCAAATCCCAGAGGCAACTGCATTCAAATGTGGTGTATGTATTATACTGTAAAAGATTAAAGTGCCTCATGTTGTCTTTGAACTGTTACCCCGTTGTGATTCTGTATAAAACTGTGTATAGTGTGGACAATGCTCTTCTTTTTAGTTTTTGAAATATCAGAGTATTTTGAGCATGTTTTGCTCTTGTGCTGTTATTTGATGACCTGCTAAATTCAGCTTTAGTTGATGTTTTACCAATATTCCACTCTCCCCAGGAGAAGGAGCCATATCGCTGGGCCATTAAAGAGACAATAAAGAGTATGCTGGCCTTTGGATGGACCATAGAGAGGACTAAAGAAGGAGATGCACTTGGCATGTATACCTGTACACGCCGAGTGTCTCAGTCTGGACAGGTATGTGAACACCACAGGACACATTCTTTTCTCCCAAATGTTTATGATGTGGTAAAACTAATATTATTCTAATAACTAAACTTTTACACCATTAGATTTTATTTATTTATCAGTAAACTTTTTAAATCAAGTAATTGTTGTCTGTCTTAGCTGTCTTTTGAAGGAGCATCAACCTTCAGCCCCAAACCTATGGACATGAGCAGTATCACCTTATCATGGGAGCAGTGTGTAAGTAATTACATTTCTGTCTGCTGTAACTTTAAAATGGGCAAAATTTTGTTCTGCGTTGACCCTGGCACACAGTCTGCACGGGCGATAACTGTGGCCCATTACTAATGCTGTTTTATGTCTAAAGCAAAGCGTACCACAGCTCAGTAAATCTAATAATATCTTCCATGTAAACTAGGTAATTATTGGGAGTTGTCAGATTATGTAGTTTCTTGAGTAGCATAAGCTAATGCAATTACAATGTAACTGCACAGACAATTTTCTCTCAAACTAGTAACACAAATTTTAGTGCTGTAATTAGGCATTAATTATACCTGCCCTGCATTTGTGTTTTAATAACACATTTGCCAAATTTATGTGCCAAACGGTTGAAATAGATTTCTTTTTCTTTTTTGTTTTCTGTTACTGTTCTGTACTGGAGTCAAATTCCTTGTGTGCTCAACATACCTGGCAAATAAAGCTAGTTCTGTTTCTTTTTTCTTTTCTAGGCTATGGCTGAACAGTTGGCTGAAAACTACCACAATGCCTGGGCTAAGAGGAAGAAGTTGGAGCTTGAGAGTAAAGGTACCATACTGTGGAGTCAAGAGCTATTCTGTAATAAATTTTTTGAAGTCCCCTCTTTTCCTCTCCCCACCCTCTAGCACAGAACAGCTAACAAAACTGCAATCTATCTGACTTGTTTCTGTTCTCAGGAGGGGGTGGCCATTCAATGCTTGTGCCCTATGATACCCTGACTGCCAAAGAGAAGACCAAATTCAGAGAGAGAGCCCAGGATGTCCTCAGGTTTCTCCAGCTCAATGGCTACACTGTGTGGAGGTAAGTATAGAATGAGCATATGATTGCTAAAGGGCAATGTGCTGCTTTATGCATGAAGAGGGGAGTAATGAGCTGTTCCATTTTTGTGCCACAGTAGTGTTGCTCTCCTAACACCGTGTATCAGGCATCTTAGCAATCAGACCCCAGTCTTTTTTTTTCTTTCAACTTCCAGTACAGGTCACAAACTGAATTACAGCATAACCAGTCAGTAATATAATTACATTGCCTGTTTGCCCTCCCACTGCACAACATTGCCATGAATAGTTTTGCAGTTAAATTCTGGAAATAAAATGCATTGTCCAGATTATACAGTGTTTAAGGTTGGAGCTCACTGTCTTCTCAGACTCTAGTGTTTTAT